CCTCCTTCTGTCACAGCACGTTTTTCTACATTTCTTCCTCCTCCATTCTCATTTCTCACCACCCTCTGTCCTCCTCTATCAGTGTGGAGAAAGCATTAACAATCCCGCACAGGAGAGATGATCGAATTTCCTTATGAGGGTAACCTTAATCTGGAGACAGTCCAGACTAGGAGATGGCTCTGATATCATCACAGTCATGTTTTAAGCTTGTTATGTTAGTCTTAAACTACCTACTTCTAGAATCACTCTATTTTAAGACACACTGTATATAAAAAAATCCTATCTGTGTCATTTATATAATATTTTCAACAAATAAAGTGACATAAATCCCAACATAATATGTTTAAAATATATTGATTAGTGCAAGGACAACATTACTTTTTTATGGTTAATCTTTAACAACCACTGACCATTAGATAAATATTGTCAACGTGTTCCTACTTTCTGTTCACAAAAAAATGCTCTTCTCTCACTCTGCGTCATCTTCATATCCGAAGGGGGATTTTCATCACAGGCCTTTGACATGTAGGAGAAAGGTGCTGTACACAAAACAGTGGAATGGAAATTTCCCAAAAGCCTCTGATAGTAATAAACCCAATCCTGACAACCTTACCTGACACAGGCTAATTGTAGAATTCTTTCACAAATGTCTTTTTTTTTATTTGACTTTGGTTTTTCCAAATAAAATGTAACTGCTCAGTGACACAGAAAATGACTCATTTGTCTTCAAGTGTGTTAAATTAAAAAGCTGAACTAATGGATTGCAGTCTATGACAAAGTTTAGAAAGCTTTTCAGTTCTTTTGGAAACAGGGTGTATTCTGTTCCACACAAAAACAGCACACTTGACTGTCCTTGGGCCTTAAAACTTCAGATATTCATTTTCAAATTAAGCTGTTACTGTAAACAGCAAACATTTTGGCATCCAGTGCTACTCGAGTCATTATTTACAAGGGTCAGTAATATTGTTTTTATGTCCTTAACTTAGTTTGGCGATATGGAATTATTGGAACAATGCATGTATTAAATGTTTGTGGTTGTTTTAGTTTAAACAATTTGTTGGGAACACATTTCCATTCCAAAAGTGCACACCATGCAATAGCCTTTGATTTTTATTTATTAAATTTTTTTCAGGCTTTTAAAAAAAGAACATATTGCCTGGCAAGCTTAATAGCACAGAGTTTGTTTCCCCTTTAATTAAGCAATGGCTCAGTGTCAAAAGTGACTCCAAAAGTGTTTGTTATAGGTCCCAAAGCACACGAGTGCTTGTATCGAATATGGAGCCTCCACTCAGCAAATAACCTCCCTGAGGTTTACGCTTGGTTGGAAATAAGCCAAACTGTAACTTTTAGCTCCGCATATCTGGAATTTGTCACACAGTTTTGTTGTTTGGGTAAAGTGCTGATTAAAACAGCAGGGCTCCACACAACAATCAGTCCTGCCAAATGTTTAAAAAGGATTTAGTGGAGCTCTGGAACCATCCTTCATTTTTTCACCACACGCAGCTCCACAAGCACACGGACTGAACTCACTCATAATCTAGATGGTTTTTAGCAATGATTAATGAGGGAAAATGGGGGTTTCTGTGTGTTTGTGTGTGTGTGTATGTCTGGGCTCAGTGCCATCTCTAATATGGGGCAGTGATGGATGTGATTCACCTTGGTGCTCCAGATGACAAAAGGATGAATTATGATTCTACCACATCGTCTTCAAGTCACAGAAAAAAACAGCAGACATGTACACAAAGTCATCGTTCGTTTGCTGGGGTAACTAGAGAATATTTGCATTTGCGTGTCTTCCTTTTCAGTTGGTAAATCAGCGAAAATGCTGAGAGAATAAAAGACGATCATATATAATAAAGACAGCGTGTGCAAACAGATCACAGTTGGAAAGGTAACATTAAAAAGGTTGTGTTTGTTCAAATTTTGATTTTTAGAAAAACCAAAGAAAAACAGTGAAATCCCTCTAGTTGTGCGAATAAACAGGATCACTGTAAAGCTCTGATTCTCTCTCTTTAAATTAATTAATTAATTTTTAAAAACTAAACTGACACCAAACCTTCCAGTAGAGGAAATAACCACCAAAAATCCTATCTGGCTTCTTTCTTTACAGTTGACTATTCACTCAGCATACTATGTGTAGAAATCAGTTTCTTTTTCTGGAGCGTACTGAGCCTGTTAGGAGCACTGGAGATGTGGGGTAGAATGATCTCATTTCACTTTTATTATTTACTAATTATAGTACAATTAATTATGGTGCAGTCTTTTGTGCGATTATGAAAGTTACACTTTAATCATAGAGCTCTCTTTATAGTTTCTACAAAGAACTGCGTTATCCAACTGCACGCTGGTGCTTCTCGGTAAGGTTGTACCTGGTTTTAATCCTGGCTGAGGCCTTTTTCTGCATGGGGTTGATGTGTTCTCCCTCTGTATCCGTGGGTTCTCTATCTGCCTGGATCACGAGAGTCACCTTTGTCTCTGTGTGGTCAAGTGACGGATTGGCCACCTGTCCTGGGTGTGCCCCTCCTCTAGCACCACTATGAACCTCAGCTGGAATAAGCAGAAAAATGGAAACTAAGTCACAGAGCGTACGAGTGCAAAGGTCAACATATGGCATATGACGTGACATAGTTGAGTCTCGTATAAAAACTGAATAGAATTGCGAGATGTTTTAGAAAGCACATAGCCTGTATAGGAATGCTATGGAGATAAATTTGAGTAACACCTACCTTGGCAAAAAACTTGGAGGAGCACCATCATCCACTACACTGCAAACAGACAAAAACACATTTTCAGCAGGTTTAATTTCCAGTCACTAATGCATGTGTGATATATTGGCTACGACCGATGGAACAGCTGTATGAATCCCCCCGTTTCTGTCTTCAGACTACCCATCACACGGGTTGTTTTCTCAACAGGCTTCTCCTCACATCTCAAACCGCGATAAGGCCGCGGGAGGAGGCGACGGATGTTCTGCTGCGTTATATAGCCGGAGGTGAGATGTGAGACGCTGACGTCCGGCCCCTGCGTTTGCCTCCTCTGTATGAGCCACATGGGTTTGTCATCTTTGTTCAAGCTCCCCAGTGCTTATCTGCATGAAGACAAAGCGTCACCGGAGAAATACAGGACTGCTGTGGGAGAGGGATGTGTGCACTTACATGGTGACATAATGAAGAAAGAAAATGATATCAGCAGAGAAAACGCTTATGGAAGGAAAAGCTGTTTTTTTTCCATATCTTCTCTTTTTCTCATCAGTCACATATACTTCTTGATTCACAGATTATTTTACTCAAACAAACTTTGATGTCATGCACACTTCCTGGTTTTCAACTCATCTTTATATACTCAAAACAGTTTTTTTAAAATACACAAAGAAATTGCTTAGCTCTGAGTAGGTGCCACACGCAACAGGGTGTCTTGCTCATTTCCATGTATGAAGAAAATTAGACCAATTTTGGTGCCTTGCACAGCAACTCAACCTGCCTAAAAACATTCATTTAAGACATATATATACAGTATATATTGTTCTGTGTTCTTCTGATTCCTTATAAAGTAATGAGAGAGGAAATAAGCCTCAGGAACATCACTGCATTCATTCGCAAATCTCTACTCCCACCTAGTGGCCAGATTACGCATCAAGAACTCTTAAATTCTGATCAGCAAAGAGAAACATGATATCAGTTAATGATGTAACAGTCAAAGAGACTTATGTATCACAAGAGGATATGTTTTTAATAGTTATACCAGCCTGCATAATGAATAATCATTTATCAGTATAAGTGGAATTCCCTTTTAGGAATTCCCAGTATTTTGAACAGGATTCTTTATCTTTAGTAAAACTAATATATAATAATTACAGTGTAAAAACATTTTAGGGTCCTGGGGGTCATCTTGGCGGGGAGGCAAATTACTAGTTATTCCTCTCATCAGCAGGTGAGTTGATAAGAAGCAGAGCTCGTTTATCTTACCCACCTCCCTCTGCCAGTCCTTCAGCTGCTGTGCAAAACAGCACACGGCCTCAGAGCTGAGATGGAGACAGATAATGAGCTCAAGACTTACGAGAGGGTGTGCCGGGTTGGATACAGCACGGCGCAGAACGCAAACCCTGAAGAGTGTATCCGTCACCAGTTCTGCTTCTGTCTCATCTGACGGTGCAAGTATTTTCACATTCATACAACTACAACACATACAAATACAGATGGCATTAATAGGAAGGGAAACAGCAGAAAACACATAGAAGTCCCACCATGACTTTATTCTCGGAGAGTTACAAATACGGACATGCTTAAACGCATCACAACTACGCAATGCAGATTTAGTACAGTGATCAGTGGCATGCCAAAAAACATCAAAGTGAAACTTTTAATCATTCCTACTGACTTATTTTCTTGCCAACATTTTTCAAAACCAGTGTTTAAGAGACTCAATCCCAGGACTTCAGGTGAGGAGTAGTCATTGCGATCCAAAGCCCTACTTTACAAAATAGAACACTCCAGAGCTAACTATAAGCCATTACATTATATAGGCCAGTACTTGTTGTCATACCACACTCAGGATCAAATATTTATTTTTTTCTATGAAACATAAAAAAATATAAAGGTGGAAGTAGGCATTTTCTCTAATTCAGGTGAATAAACAAAACAAAAAACAAACAAAACCAAAAATTAAAATAATCTGTTGGAGGCCCACGAGCGCCAGATGCACTGATAAGCACTTTAAACCATTATGTAGCAGCTAATGTCCATGATTGGTAAGTTATATTGCACAGTTTGAACTGTTACATCAGAGGCTGGATCATTAGCAGACACATTTACAGTATAATCTATTAAATATCCGACAGCAAAAAAAAAAAACTGAGCTATGACAACGGATCTCTAAACAACACAAAAGTAAAATGATATGGCACACGAAAGGAATAATAACAATTAAAAATAAACATTTGTGTGCGATGGTTCCTAAGTGGCACTCAGAAGAAGATGGCGGGGATTTGTAGTTCCGGGAATCTAACTGACAGAACACGGGTCGTCCTTGCAGGGCTTGACGTCGCCTTGCAGTAACTGGATCATTACGGCCTTGGTCAGGTAGCTGGACGTGCCTCTCTTTCCTAATGGTGGCGTGTTGTAGAAGGCCTCCATGCCATCCTGGGACAAACACAGTGAGGGATAGATGATAAAACATACGTAACAACCAGTTTTTACAGAACATCTGTCCACAACGCCAACAGCAGTTTCAAAAGACATTCGAAGGCAGGACATTCTACCTGTTTCTTTACTCCTTTCAGTTGGCTGCAGTCTCTCTGAAAATCGTTAAAGGCTTCTTTTACCAAACCATCCAGATCAACCTTGTCACTGAACTCCAGCTCGGGGTTTCTCTCCAACACTATGGACACCACCATCAGCAACTGACAACCAAGAGGAAAGAAAACAAGGGAAACAAGAACACTTATCACGATTTTGTTGCTTTTATACAATCTAATCGAAAACTAGTTTCAAACTAAATGGATAATCAGCTAAGATTGCATCGTTTTAGTTTGATTCCAGTCTCCTGGTTGAGCTTTTGGCGGTTTGGGAGAAGCGGCGGGAATACCTCCACAATGATCTGTCTGTACTCGGGCAGGACGATGTTCTTCAGCATGTCCTCCACCAGCAGGGAGAAGTTCATCTCATACATGGTCATATCAGACAGCGTAGGTTGCTGTACAGAGATAACGGGGGAAAAAGCAAAGGAAAAATCAGTTTCTAAATCCTGTCACTCGATATATTTCTAATTATCCTTCACTGCTCTGACTGCTGGCAGGAAAATAGATTGTAAGACTGAGTGTGGTGTGGGATAAAAAGAAATTTGCTTTTACTCTGTAATATTCAAACACACACAAAAAAAATGCTATCAAGGATTTTTAAAAATAAATAATCGGGTGCAACGTGGTGGAAAATCACGACTTAATCGCAATTAGATTTTCTTTTGTCTTATAGTGGAATGTTTTCCAATCCAAAGATTTCCATGGCAGAAAATGATTGATACAATTTTTTTATGACTCCTCTCAATTAGAAGAAGTAAAAGCCATTAAGAAAGGAGCTTTGTGACTAATGTGGCTTTGAGGTGTGGTGCTATAAAACACGTCAGGGTTCTGCATACACAGCCGTTTAATGTCCGCATTAGCCAGAAGGCACAGCAACCCTCCAAAATAAATGGGTTTCACTGAGGTCAGCCTGCAATTTCTGTGAATAAAACCCGCGGTTTTATTCACAGGTTTCCGGATATGTCTTTGATCACTCTTTATTATATTGTATATTGGACGTTATAATGGCATTTGCTTCAGTGTCTGAATGCTGAATGTGGGATTTATGTATTATTATGTTGTGGTCTCGGAAGTCTGAACCAATGGAGAAAAAAAAAAAAAGCTGTGATAATGGTATGTTCGTTGCTACAAACAAAGAGCTACATTTTGTAAAGTTAACGGTGCTAACTCCATTTATGCAACGCCGCTGTTAATAGTCAATAGAATATAAACAGCACGTCGACCTACAATGTAACAAAACAAGAAGGTTAATGCAGCTAAATAGAATTCCGCCAGTATTTGTTGAAATGTCACAGGTTGAGTGTTTTTCGTAATTAATACATGTATTGATTTGGTTCACTTCCTAAAAGACAACCCAACAGAACGGTCTGTGCAAAAAAAAGGCTCTATTTATAAGCCCCTCGCTTTTAAAACGGCCGCACACGGAGCACAGAGTCACATTTCACCGGCAAAAGGTCAGAGGATTTCTCCTGTGGGTGGAGAGGTGGGTACCTGTGGGAGGTGAATTCCGGCCACCATAATACCGTTGGGGGTCCTCTCCAGGATCTGCCACACACGGTCATAAAAGCCCAGAGGGGTTCTGTTCAGAGAGCCATCGATCTGACGCCTGCTCAGACAAGACCTGGGGGCGAACGAGGGGAAAACTGCTGAAATCCGTTCTCTAAACAGGAGAAAAAAAATAATGACGGGAGCCTCCGCGCGAGAGAAAAACCGCCTGCGAGTCGGTGTGCGTTAGATCAGATGAGATAAGATTAAACTTTAATAATTCCCTGGAGGAAATTGAGTTGTGCTAGCAACCGGGGGATGATAAGATAAAAAGGCAGACAAGGCTGGAGATAAAGTAATTAAAAGAAAAACAAAAAAGATAGATCGAAAAGTAAAATGCGGGGAGATAAAGTGGACTTCAAAAGCAGAGTGGTGTGTTTAAAGACAGGAGAGGCCACAGAGGATATTACTGATAACGCATGTGTGTGTGTGTGTGTGTGTGTGTGTGTTTGAGTACCTGCTGGTGTTCTGAGGCTGCAGGACGTCCAGCAGCAGCTGCTTGATGTCGCTGGGGGAGAGCTGGTAGATGTCCTGAGGTGGCATGTCTCCGGCTCGGATCTTCAGCTCGTGTTTCATGGCCTGAACGATCCACCTGGCCATTCACACCACACGCGGATTATGGTAAGGACCACACGAATCCGCTCAGTTCAACCAGGGATCGACTCACAGTTCATTACACTCGTACAAAAATGTATTCATGATGAGGTCACCGACTTTCTAAGCTGCATTAACAATGTCCGGCCAATAAATGGAACCTGTTTAACCCTGTAATGCCAAATGCATCATATTTGATACATATGGTTTCTGAAGTGTTTTGCCTCTGACACCTTTTGCATAATTTAATGGTAAAAACGTTGCTCAAAATCCTATTGTACACAATCAGATACACTTAATAACAGGGGGCAGAAGACTACACCCAAAAATAATCTTGACTTATCCCATAGTAATAAATTACTAATATCAAAAATGTATTTCTGTTTTTTCTTTTTACATATTTTGTTAAAAGGCCAAATAAGGAATTCAAACCCCAAAAAAGTAATTTTCTGTTTTGTTTTCTTCTTGGATCGGGCTTTATAGGGTTAAATGGAGTGTTTTCCAAGGAGTCAAAACTAATGACAAGAAAAAAATTACACCTTTGAAAGTTTCTCATTTTAAGGAATTTCCAAGATGGAGAATATACTATATCAAACCACAATCTTATTTGACAAAATTAGGGGGTTGTGATTAAAACCAGCTTCGTCCTACCCGACTCTGATCTTCAGCATGCCGCTGAACAGCTCCGGGTTGTTGGAGATGATCCACCCTACGTGGATGACCAGCTCCTGCTGCAGGACGGCCTCCCTCTCCCCGCCTTTGGGGGAGCACTTGCTGTATATGATGCCCTGGATCACCCCCGGGGACAGGGGGTTGGAGATCACCTCCTCCTCGTGCCCGAACACGCCCAGGGTCACCTGGTAATGCCGTGCGAGCACACACACACAGAAAAAAGGCGGGAAAAAGACTCAAACGTGTGCACAATAGAATAACCTGCTCTAAAATGTTTGAAATTGGCCTCCTATCTCAGAGCCCCGCAAAAAGTTCAAATCTCAAAATCACTCTTGGCCAATTTTTCCTCAAAAATCAGACCTAGAAAAAGTTTGCTAATAAAATCTCACTTTAAAAACTCAGATGCGTAATTCATCTATTTGTTTAAACTGATTTTAACGGCACGCGAGAAGGTTTTAACCCAAAATAAAAGGTTGCACATCCAAGGGAGCGCATTGTCAGATTTCCATACAAAACATAATCAAAACTAAATTTAAAACTGACTTAAATGGGCTCGTGCCGCTAATTTCTCCTGCAGAGCTGTTACTGAAACAGGAGGAATGGATTCGTCTTCACTTTCAAATCAGGTGTTCCTGTTGTGTTGAGATGAATATTCCCACTAGTAGGCAATCTATATGCAGATTAACACCTTGAGCTACTTCACCTTGATGAAATGCCTAAAAGTGTTCAGAGGGGGGTGTAAAAAAAAAAAAAATAGGGCATATAACTGACACTCTTGAGAGGAGGCTAATCTCTGAATAACACTTGACAGGAACCGAGGTAAAGGTATCAGATAAATTCACGGGTCACAGTGGATCAATTGGCACATGGCGTGTCCAGACAGGGTGCGTATTAGGGACTCTGTGGTGCTCACACTGACAAGTCTTGCTACAACTACAGCTTGAATACACACACACGGTGGAGGTGAGCTGTGATGAGGGACATGAGCAAAGCAGCTGGCCTTTTGCAATTCTCATAGGATGCCAGCAGGAGCTTGAAAATCATCAAAAACTTCAATTGTTGTTTTGTAATCGGTCAACATTGAGAATCACTGGTCAGACATTTTTTCTACAACAGTTTTGAAGGGACTGTCACTACTCAAGCCCGCCTGTCTGCGTGCCCACTTACCTGCTTGCCATGAACTAAAATACTAGTAATACTGGGTGCAAGGCTGTCCACTAGCTTAGTTAAGAGACTGGCAGCCAGGCGGACAACAGACCTAGTGGGCGAAAAGACACAAGAACATTCTTGAAAAAATTTTGTGACAGAAAATCTTACAGTTTGGAATATGAAAAGTGATTTGAAATGATCTGTTATGCTATATATGTGTTCGATTCAGTCATCAAAAGGCCAGATCAAAGGTTTTCTTTCCCCTCGAACGTTATAATGTTCGCAAATTTCTGACGTCTTTAGTTAAGACGATGCGGCGGACGCTTTCAGACCGCCTCCATCTTGCCTGCAGGAATCCTATGACGAGAAAAATCTCCACACGTGAATTAGTGGTCTTCACATAGCTGGAGCCGGCACGGACGCACACATGGACATGAAGCAACCATCACAGAAGCAGTGAATGCAATGAAATAATGTCATTATTTGGGGTGGTACAATCAGCTGCTAACACATTAGCTCTTATTATATGCTGAAGAACAACTCTAAACTGTTATACAAGTCGCTTAGTGCCTAGACTTTTGAAAATGGAAAGGTATCTAAAGACATGGTATATAAAAGGTAATGAATTTTAAAAGTTTAGAATGCATAGCGTGCTTCCAAACATCCAGTCAATTATTGAGAAATCCATTTCCTGGTTCATATTAAGCAGGTATATGAGCTCTGTTTAGACACTATTTCTCAGCAATCAAGAAAATAAAATAAATCAAGAAAAAAAAAAAACCACCAGGCTTTTCTCTTATATTGTACAATCAAGTGTGTCTTGGCTAAAACATGAATCACAATAAAAGACGTTATGTCAGTCAGACTGATCAAATCAAACCACGGAGACAGAAAACTGACCACAAAGAAGGGGACATAAACTCAGTCGTGAGTTGTGACAACCATCGTGTTTGGTCAGTAGCCGTTTACCAGGCCAGCAGCAACGACAAACTGAATAGAATCAGAACAGCTTTTTTACGATCCAGCATTACTAAAAAAAACTAGGCGTGTATGTTTTTATGCGTACTTGCTTTGGGAAATTTTCGGGATACGTGAGCATTTTGCTGGTTGCAGGATCTGGATCTTTACTGAAGTGAGCAGCCTTCAAAGTGAAGAAAGGTTGACTTCTTTATGGTCTTAAAAAGTAGCAAAGTAATACTTGAAAGGTTTTCAATTTCCTTGGGAAAATAACTACTCTTATTTAAATTCGATCCCCTTTATGCTCAATCGGATATAAAGCTCTTCCCTACACAGTAGGATGTCTTCATCCAATTCAACAATTCTATTTGATTTGCAGTGCACCGCTGGCCTTGGAGCAGTTGCTGATGATAAAAAAAAAAGAGCAGAAGCAACGATCCTGTGTCTGTGTGGGTTAATGTGGGGGGGCCGACACTGACCACACACTTCTGAACGCATCCAGGTGGAGAATCCTGCTAGCGAGGCCTAGCTAGCTCTGCCAGACTAATGACTGTGTGAGAATTAGCCATGCGCTTTTTGGTGACACTAAACTCAGAGTGGAAATACGGAAACTTCAGCTGGTCACCATGTGAACAGTGTCCAACTGATTGGACCTGTGAGAAGTCACTTTATGACCACAAGAACATTAGTTTTGCAGTAACTCTGCATTACTGTACATCCCCACAGGATATACTATACGTTATATTTGAAGATTATAATATTTGCATTACATGTATTGTACATATTATATTTCTGTCTTTTCTTTGGTAAAAACATTTTTAGCTCTATTCTTGCCAACTCTTGTGTTGTCTTCTCAAATATATACATATCTTTAAATGTTTTTATTTCTATAATGTCCAATGAGCCCCATATTAACAGTCAACCCTTTAGTTAGTAGGACAGGCTGAACCTCACACAGCTCCCCCAGCCGGCCTGTTAACTGTGCCCACACTTGCAGGGATATTTTCTCCACCTTTGCCGTGACATTACCTGCTTCCCTTGCACCAGAATTGTGGTGATGTGAGGAGCTATAGAGCTGGCAAACTTCTTGATATTAGCGGCAGCTTGGCGAACTGCCAGCCTGCAGTTCAGCCAGATTAAATAACAGTTATTTTCAAAATAAACAAGAGGGGGGGGTTCTGAGATGATGATAGATGGGGACGTTTCTGGAATTAAAGCAATGTGTTGGTTAAAGAAGCATTAAGAGATATCTCATTCAGCTCTCACCAAATACGATATATACATAGCCTATCAATTTTCACAAAATCAATGCTAAAACGCTACAATGGCTGAATGACACTGGATGCAGTTGCAGGTATGTTTTTGTGTACATGTGTGAGAATATCAGACCAAAGCTTTCTGCTGCCAGCTCTTCTGTAGATGCGCTCCATTTCCTCCCTCAGGTTTTCTGGAATGACAAATATATATTTCAGACATCATGAATACACCCTCCACATGGCTGATGACGGCCAAATATAAAGATTGGGCCGTGATGTCATTACAAGAAAGAAAAAACAAAAACAAAACAATACTTGGGTCCTTTTTAGGGGGGGAAATGTACTTTCACTTCCCTGGGTTACTACATTTCTGCTCATTTCTTTTGCAGTTCTCCTTCAGCAAACATTTATTACAGAGACTATCAATATAGAGATGAGATCTAAAGGGGTTCTTACCATCTTTGATGAGTAAGTCTGGGCCCTCTCTTCTAAGAAGGATGCTGGCAAGCTGAGCCTGACTCGCCAAGCAATCGCAGTCCTGCATAAAGGAAAGTTTAGACAAATATAGTTAGCCACATGATATACATTAAATCTTTTTTTTTGCATTTAATTTTTCTCCTATTTTAGGTATTCGTGTAAGAAACACATTTATGTATCTTCTCCTTTCAAATCCACCAACTCACATGGAACTTCTGCATGATCTCATGTGTGGGTTTGTCCTGCCACTCCTCCACGCTGATCTCCGGCTGCTGTTCCATTTCCGAGGCGTTGGGCGTGCTCGTCTGTCTCTTCACCTTTGAGTGCTTCGGTAGCTCCAGCTCCTCAAAGCTCTTGAACTCCGGTATCCTTTGCGCACATAAACACACAAACAGACGATGAAAAACAGACTTTCGTGTTGTTATCTTTATCTTTTGAGAATATCTTTTTTTCATTTTTTTTTAATCACACGCTATCAGTTATACAGTAGTTCAACATTTGAATTGCACAGATAAGGTTAACGACACATTAAAAAAAATAAAAAAAACATGAAGACCAGAGAAAGTTCTCACTCAGCCTCATTGACACGAAGGAAATCTAGCTGCTCCACAAAGGCTCCAGATATGAGCGTCTGAAAGACAGAATACATAAGAAAGAAAGAGACAATTTATCAGCTGAATTGTTTTTTCATGCAAATCATTAGCAACATTACAGATTTGAGCCATTCTAACTTTAAAAGCAGAGCAAAGAGGAGCAGGAGTGGGGCAAGTCTGTATCTTTCAAACTGTAAAACATTTTGAGTTAGCAGTGAACTATACAGCAAACGGGCAAAAGTTTTCACTGAAAAGAGAGGATACAAAAAAAGCAATATATGGGGAAATCTCTCATGATGAGAAGTGTGGATCAAAAAACCCCGTCACAAGTTTGACAAAGCATTTGGTTAAAGTCTCCAATATGAACACAAATCTAGTTTCTACTTTGGCCTAATTTTTCCCCCAGTCTGTTCTTTGCAGCAGGATTTGTGGTTCAGTGAGATTTATTGAGGCAGAGAGAAAAAAAGAGAACAAAAAGGGAAAGAAAGTAGGCTCCCCCCCCTTCCCACTATCCGAAACTATGTGACTAAATAAGCAATAAATCTTCTTCTATTTAATAACATGCTTTAGCTTGTGTTTTATCATTTTATAGCACCCCACCAATTCCATCTTTTTCTGATTATTTGAGTCTGCACACTGATATAAAAAATAAAAAAACACCTCCAGGTAATGAACCTACCACTGGAAACGTTTGATAATGTCAATACCTCTCCCTTTCCTTTTTTAAAACACATCTCATCGACTGAATGCGCGATAGAAAGCTCATTTACTGCTCCCAGCTATCGCATCGTTCTTGTGCTTCAGCACGCCAGCTCTTACTCCCCACAACAATGCACCTGTGTCACATTCACTTTAAGGAATCACATAACTGTAATTAGTCAGATCTAATCCATCTTAATTATAGGGTGGGGGGGGCGCTGCAGAATTAGCTGATTTGAATTAGCTAAATTAACTTATGCACCCTCGCAGGCTGCAGTGTTATTCAGGCTTTCCGTTCTGAACAATCGCTGCATGGACTGGATCCATGACTGCATGGATGTAGCCCGGTGCATTTGTCTCAGGCTGCGTCTGGATTATGCCCTTAAATTCCTCATGTTTGCTCAAGATTATGGTCTGAAGAGTACGTTGCTCCAGAATCATGTTTGATGGTTGACCGTCTGCTCTCAACATAAAGCCGTCCACAGTCAGAGTAAGGAACCCAGACAGTTGAAGTGCTTTTAACTTGTTAGGGACAGTAAAATTAAGTTTATTTCCTTACAGTTCACATTATTCAATCTGCTTTAAATGAGCTAATTTAAAACCATTAATCGCCTGTCTAATGTTAATTATAAAGTTGTGAAGAGAACATTCAGGAATCCAATGAGGAAAAAAAAGTCTTGAAGCAGCATGTTTTGACATAACATTACACACACACTCCTGCTGAGCTGACAGCATAATGTCAGTTATTTAACTTCCTCTTGAATTCACTTGTCAATTGTCGCTAGAAAAACTAGATAAAAAAAGCAAGAATAACTGGGACAAACACTTGGTGTAAAAGCTGTGGTCCCATATGAAAAATTAGAATAACAAAACGTCATGACATAACACTGAACACTGACCCCTCTGCTAGGATTACCTTTACCCCAAACACAATTCTTAACAGTCACACAATCCAACAAACCTACACAGGTGACATCTTTAGGGGTTTTCAGTACTTTCAGAGTTTACTTTCAGAATTTTTGTCCGTATCTCGCGATCAGTGCGACCCATTTCGTATCTAGTCTTTTGCTGGTCACGCAGAACAAAAGAGGGGGATGGAATTTTGTCTCAGCGTATTTCGGTCCTTCAGTGTCGGCCCGATGATGTGCAGCATCATTCAAAGTGACATGTGTGGATGTGGATGCCAAACAAACATGACAGAAGGAGCTCCACATCAAACAATCGACCCCACCAGCCAAAGCCTCTCTCTAAAAGTAAATAAATAAATAAAAATTCTGAATATATATTTTTGTATTCATATTGTAATAAGGTGCAACAAAAATAGTTTTCAAATTAAAGTTTAAATCAAGATGGCCATTAAAAGCGGAACTTGCATAAACTTATATCGGCAAATGTTAAAATGCGAAATATATTGAAGGGATTTTTTTGGTGTGGCTTCACAAACCTGCAGCCTGTCGACGTGAACTTTGACCCCACCGATGCTGCCCTTCTTGAACGAGGCCAGCATGTCCAAAACCGGGTTGAAGCGGCTCCCTCTGGTGGGGCGAAGAGTTTACACGCTTTAGTTTTTCGGTTTCACACACCTATCTTTCATTCCAAACGCAATGTCTGGAAAACATGAATCTGTATATGACTGCTCTGGTTCAGCCAGCTGCCATCAACCGAATAGGCCATCTGATCAATTACATCCTGATGACTGTTGAGCTGGATCAATGGGAGCTGGCTGACTCATTTCAGATGCTGCGGCGTGGCTGTTTTAGAGTCTGTGGCACATTTAACATATGCCTCCCCGGGTAGCACTCAATATTTTTGTAATCAGCCCACCAGCTTTGCTACAGTGATACAAATGAGAAACATTATCACCCAATCAGCAGGCAAACATAGTAGAACCTTGCAGCCATAAACATAAACGGTACACAGAGAAGTGGAGAGATGAGGGAAGTAAGAGACAAATGTCGGATGAAAAGATTACATAAACCGACTCCCAAGACGATTATTGTAAATCACGAATTAAATAACAAAATAGACATAGTAAATAATGCTTAATGGAATGGAGAAAAAGAATGTATCAAGGGAAAGAGTACAAGAAAGAGCTTTTCTTTAGTGTGTTTATTACTTGATGTTATCCTCTCGGATGAGCACCAGAAAGAGAGGTCGTCCCTGCATCTTCCAGCACTGTTTGATGAACTGCAGGGCATTCTGCACACACACACACACACACACACACACACACGCAATGCTTAGCTTTTCAAGGACTTGCTAATGTCATTTTAGTAAACTAAGTCAGTGGCATTTCTCAATTCTGGCTGTCTCACATTAAGTTCACATTCAGTTTAAGAGTTATAAAAGCAAACAGTCAGCGAAGAGATTCAGGAACTTTTCTGAGAACGGTGTGTACCTGCATCCAAAAGCCTGTTAAAACCCGACCAGATTGAGGCAAAAAAATGAAAAATAAACTATCAAGAAACACAGTTAAAGATGAACTCCATTTTAGGGCACAGAGCTGTATAATGTACAATGCATGCAATTCCCAACACATTTGTTGAGAATATATATATATATATATATATCACTACAAGAGAGAAATAAAGACTATTGATAAGAAAAAAAACGTTATCAATTTTTTTTCTTGGCTCTGGCTCCAAAGGGTCAACACTAAATAGCAGGATTATGCACAGCAGAAAATTATTAACCAAATTATGGAATTTGCCCATATGAATATCTGTGAAACCCTAACCTTGATTTAATGTCGCTGTCGTTAAATCTAAAAAGCTCTGGAAACAAACAAGAAACAGATAAATGGGCATCTGTTACAGAAGTTCTAGACAGAAACGGAATGCAATCCTGACTTACCTTGATGTCATCTATCAGCAGCATAACGTCTTGGGACAGGTAGAAGTCACTCAGATCAAACACTATTGGGTAGCACACCACCGTCTTGCCCAAGATACGATAAATCTAGTGCGACACACACACACACACGCACAGAATTGCATCAGAAGACTGATAGCTCACAGGTAGCCACGAATACATTATTCTGGACGGCATATAAAACAAGCCATCCATCTTAAAACAGAGGGAGCACAAAGAAGTCACACTCCTCCCTCCCGACAACCTGCACATGTACACTTTTGGACATACACACTGCCGGTGGAAATGTCCCTTTTTCCGTGGGTTGTCACGGGGTCACACGCTGATGACGATAATGTCCTCTGGCAGTCTGCCATCTTCCCCCATAAATGTTCTATGATATTATTGTCTTAGCAGTGCGTAAGGGAGTCGTGATTCATTTGTTTTGGCCGTGCCTTTGTTGGATTCCACTTATTTGGTTGGGGTGTGACCTTGATTTGGGACAATGTGTGAAGAACACGATCAGCGTGAGGCCGGAACATCCGCGCGCGCGCGCGCGCGCGCACACACACACACACACACACACACACACACACTGCCAGAGTCTGACAGCAGGTAAGCGTAAGAAAAGTACAGCAAGTGCTGAGAGCAACCTACACCTGTTCAGCTTGAGATAAGGCAAACTGCAGGCATAAGGAGGAGGAAAACTCTATGCTTGAACTCTATGCTTTGTTTTTGAGATGCCGTCATATCTTCAGGGGGGGGGCTCTGGGAAATATATGTAAGTCAGTTTGTAGGGGCTGTTTTACTGCTGACCTATGACCCGTGCGGCAGAGCACAGGTATTGAGACCCAGGTGTCCGTGTGTGTGTGTGTGTGTGTGTCCGTGTGTGTGTGTGTGTGTGTGTGTGTGTGTGTGTGTGTGTGTGTGTGAATACCTTGCAGGTCCCGATGCAGCCGACCGGCCGATCTGGACGCCCACTCAACCCCAGCTTCTTGTTGATGGCTAGGAAACGGTACGCCTGCAGAAAGTAACACACATAAGCAAAAAAAAAAAAAAAGATCAGTAAACACATCTCAATCCTTATAGTTCTTTGCGACTCTGATTTGAGATTAAAAATATTCAAATTCATTCGAAGTGTCCTGCCGTGCATTTCCATGCAACATCGTTATGAAACAGCCCATTATCCGTCCTGTCCTACAGAGGCCTGTTGTGTTGTTACTGCTCGTGTGCAGAAAGATCGTCCATATGGCGGAAACCCTCAAGTGATATTAGCTCCGTGTAAATTTGAGATGCGGCGATAATAAAGGTCCCTGCGCTGGTATCCGTGGCGTGCTTAGTGGACACCAGCACACCCACGGGCATCACAGCTGCTCACACGGCTGTAACCGAGACGGGGCTCACAGGATGAACTCTAACTGAGTTGTCATTACAATTAATGACAGCGCGATTCAGTTTGGTTCAGTTTTTTTTATCACCGTGTCGCACATCGTGTATTTCCAGCCGACCAAAATCTACCTTTTAACTGTTTGCTGTTGTTTACGGAGCCCGTTCGCTGCCATATGCTGCGGCCCACCTGGTAAACTATCTGTTGTCACACATTGCCAACAGTGGGACTTTCGAATTACGCGTGAGTTTACAAATGCTGGGTTGATTTTTTGTTGTTTTTTTGTTTTTTTTAGTATCACCAGACAAATGTTGATTTTGGTGGCTGTGAAGTGAAAATCAAATTCATACTTCCTCTTTTTTCATTTCATTTTATCATAACAGTTAACTTGGGGATAAAGATGGATGGATGGATGGATGGATGGATAGATGGATGGATGGATAGATGGATAGATGGATAGATAGATAGATAGATATTTCCTGTTAAGGGTTCTCCCACTCTTCTGAAGAAGTTGGTTTCTCTTTACGAAGCACACTTTTTAAAAGGGAAAACTGTGTTTGATAAGGAAATGGAGACAACCTTTATAGTCAATTAATTGCTTTAGATTTGGCCAACGGAGATGGTGTCAATAGTGAACTTCACCACAGAAGCCTCTTGGAGGACGGATGTGCGGTGGCGGGTTGGGCTGAGAGAACAGGTGGGGCATGAGCATGCAACCTCAGGGGGTTCCAGTGCTGAGCTCCAAAGTGGATAACACATGCCTGCCAAACTGAGCTGTCTGAGGTCTGTTTGTGAGGGAGTGCCAGGAGTGTTTTGCTCGAGCCCAGAGAGCTCAGCATTCTCTGTCGTTCCAGTCAGGGAGAAAGTACGGGATGAGGAGCCGAGTACGAAAAGCAGGAGTAGCATCATTCGTTGAATTTATCTCTTCCCAAAATAAAGTACTCAGTGATTGATAGATTCCCCAAATTTTGGAAACACTGACAATTGTAAGAAGATATCTAATTATGTTAAAAGTCTCACTCTGAATGGATAAACATAATTCCAATAACTTCTCTTGCAGACGTGGCAAAAAACAACTGTAAAAACATATCAAGTTAGAGCTGCATTATCTTTTTTATTTTAATCCCAGTCATTCATTTTAAGTGAGGCCTGAATAAAACAACACCATGATGATGTCTTCACAGTGATTTTCAGATCAGAGACAAAACAACTTGGTAATTTCTCTTTTCAAACAGTGGAAAATGCTTTGATCATAGAGCTGCTGTATATGACTGAAAGTCTGGCATGAAAAGTATTCATCTAATTCATACAGCATCTATACGTGTATATTTGCTTACCCTGATTAAATACTTAAACTATATAGATCTTTACAATCAATGCCCTTAAAGGCTACTTATGCTTCAGTTAATTTTAGTTAAAGCATAGACATATACACTCAGCAGTTTTAAGTTTTATTCTCAAGATTAAATACTATCATATGTTCAAGTGTGTGGTCATTAAGAATCGTATTTACAAAAACCTGTACTCTTGGTATATGTCTGTATGCTTCAAGGTTTCATCTTGCTGTTAAAAAAAAAAAGCTGATTAGATTCTTTTTTTAAAGCATCGAAATCTTTTAAATAAAGTATATTTAAAAATCAATCTGAGATGGATGCTTTATGCTCGGGAACAGCATCTCACCTTCCACTGAATGAAATGCTCCAGCTATGCTTCTAAAGCCACAACTGATATAGATTGGCGGCGAGAGGGGGTTCTTTATTTCAGTCCTGGGAATAGGGGATTTCTGCCAGGTCCATGTGTAATTTGTTTCCAACTGTAATTCCACCTTCTCCGCCTGCACGGCGAAATACTACAGTTTAGTGGAGTCAGAAGTTTGCTTTGAAGGCTTAGAGGTGCACATATAGACTTCTGAGATTTGGAAAGTGGCTCAAATTTGATCTGTTTGCTATGACTTCATTTGACAGAAACGCCTCCTCTTTTGTCAAGAAACATGCAGTTTACTTAAATGTTTTTATCATCATTACTCAATGTGCGGCTGAATTTAATGAGCTACCTACTATTTTTGACTCAGTGTGAGAGCACTAAAAGCTGTTCCATCCTCATGTTTAAAACCATCTTAATCTGAATTCATACACATTTGTATGTTCTATCAAAAACTGCATAAATCAATTAACAGGCAAGAGGCACTGTGAAGGAAATGTGGCTTGCAAAGCCTCCCTGCTTCATCCATCACTCCGAATCAACCAACTGCAATACATAATATGAACCAAAAGGTGGTGCCCTGCTTCTCCCATGTGCATATTCCTTTAAAGAGCCACTACAACTAAATACTAGCAGCAAAACTGAGTTTTTATCTAACAAGATTGAAAGAATAAATAGCTTTATGAAAATAGATGATAGTAAATGTTATAAGACAGAGAATAATAAAACTAAATAGCTTTGCAAACCATTGCCATTAGGCTTAGAGAGGATGTGGAAGAAAAAGAGGCAGAGGGGAGGTTAGGAGAACCTCTGCATCCAACACTTCCTGTGTGTGGAATACCAATGAATGAGCACGCAAGCAGCCTATCAAAGCATCCTTTCATCCCCTCACATTTCCACTGACCAAAGCACAAACAGCAAGCCTGACAGGTAGGAAAGCGCGAGAGAAAGTCAGAGGTAAAAGCTGTATTTACACTTTTGCAGTGGAAACAGAGGGGAGGGGGGGATCAACTGTTGACAAAAGCTGTATTCTATTAGGGTGATTCTTCTCATATTCAGACATGTTTCCATGTGCAAATTTACAGAGGCAGGGGTTTGTGCCTTAAGAGTGTAAATGTTACTAATCAAATCTTAAAATGTTTATTTTCAATTCAAATAATCTTATCATATAAGCACTCACTGAAATCCAGAGGAACTGATATTAAACCAGTTCAGGACCAAGCCAAACTGATCCTGAGACCTCAACGGGGATCATGATAAATATTTATGCTTTGGCACAATGAAATCTAGTGAAATGCATCCTCTGCACAATAGATAAGTTCATCAACAAGAATGATTATGCTGACACATGGCATTTACTCACTTACTCTCTATAAAAAGGAAGAGAAACCTTTTTATTTTATTAAGACGGATATAATCTTGTGTTTTACTCACATTCCCTCCCAGATGGATTTGGTCATGCAACACATTAAAAAATGGCATACTGAACTTTTTTAGGTTGGACAGGGAATCTGCTAAGGTTATTTCACTTCTGTTCCTCCTACTTGCAGGCTGCAGAGGTTGATTATGGAAAGATGGTGAGAGCTGCAAGTTTAAAACTTGCAAAAACGACAATATGCAAATATGACAGCGCCGCACAACAAGGGACCCGAAGCCACGATTTCTTAAACTTTTACTTTGAATTGTGCTGCAATCTGCACAATCCCCCCTTTTAGTTTTTATGTCAAAGGTCACACCTGGGTATCATGTGACTTATAGAGCTTGCAAAATGCCTATCAGTGTGGCGTCCATATTGACAAAAAGAGACGGAGCAGCTAAAAGGACGGCTGTTTTGAAGCCAAACCACGAATTGGAGGGGGAAAAAAAAGAAAAAAGTCCCAGCTTTTATGCAAAATATCAGACCGGGGATGTAATTGCCACTCTACCGTCGCCGTTGCGACTGTTGTCACCGTAATCAAACGGCCGCTGGAAAGGAGGTGAGGTGAGCAAATGCAGCCTGCGGCAGGCGATGGTGGCGACTCCCGGATAAACAGAAGCTGTCGGAGAAGAAAAGGACTCGTCTGGGTTTGGGATCAAAAATGCAGCACGTCGCTCTGCTCTGGCTGACGGCCACACATCCATCTGAGGGGCAGGGGAGGGGGGGCCTGGGGGGATGAGTAACAGGTGACAGTTCAAAGGGCAAAATGGGGGGGGAAATATAGCTAGAAAAGTGATTTGGGTGGACACATCAGAGTAGGGGACAGATGGAACGCAGATCTGGTGAAAAGCGAGCAAAGCTCCGAGAGATGGCGAGACGAGGAAGAAGAGGGCTGCCGTGTAACAGACGTGTCGGGTGATAAACTGAAGTCGGGGGAGGGAGATGAGGATTCGAATGACAAATACGACTGAGGAGAGACGGACGACGCCGAGACGGAGGGCTTCAAACGAGAGGAACGCAGATGAGGGACAGCATCCACGGGCGAGAGCGGGGTTTTGAGCGACGGCTCCGACTGAAATGAAGGAGTAGTCGCCGGGGGGAGGCGGCGCCCGGTGTCACACACACACACGGCAGCAGCAAATGGTGCAATCTGCAACGGATGAAAGAAAAAGCCTGCAGATAGAATAAAAAAATGGCAACCCGTGCAGCGCTGGACACGGACGGGCTTCGTTTCCTTCTCATTACATCAGCACTGATGAGGCATTCCAAATTTCTCTTAATTGGCCCATTTGCATTACCAACAATCTACCACCTACTTTGTTCTGATTTCTAAATAAGCATTTCTTGAATCAGCTCCGTAAGCATTTGGACGAAGGACGGAATCTGGATCTTTTTAAGTCAGAATTTGTCACAAAAATAAGTTGAAATAAGTTTAAAACAAAACGGAGAGTGTTCTTTGAATTTCCTGATTTTTATCCAATCACAACTCCTTCATGTTCTATTCAGGATGGATTCAGGACTGATCTGTTTATGACCTCGACCGCGAGGTTTGGCACGGTGACGGCTCCATTTTTTATTTTTCCACTTTTATCAATCAATATGAGCAATGGCATTTTGGATAATCAGTCACTTCAACTTCTCTGCGGCGTGGCCGCTACTGATGGAACGATCAGGAAGCAGGTTTAACGAAGTGAAACTGTTGGCTTAACAAGCACACACCGACTTATGCAAGATCTATATGGATATGGATAAATAGCTGTCAGGTCGGCATTTCTCCAACTGTAAGACTGATTTGTTTACCTGCTACAGTATGGGTGAGGTTGCATCAACAATCCTCCCTATTGCAATTCCATCCAACCATTAACAGCGACAGTAATTAGTGTGGATTTGCTTTCAAGATAAACACAAGCTCTTAAATCTAGCCACAAATCAGTAAAGCTAATCATGACCGGAGAAATGCCTGCAATCAGTGTCTGATGTGACCATTGGTGAAAATCTATCTTAGTAGTGATTTTCCAATTGTGGATGAACTGCAATGTCTATCAAGTTGTGGATGAATGGGTGAGAGATGATACACTGGCATGGTGGAACACGCAAAAATATAGAGAGATGATATAGGTGAAAATGTAATTCTACTTTTAGTGAAAACCAAATATAAGGGTTCACTCTAAGCTCAGCGGGTTTGCTTCAGGTTCACACTGTTCCTTATTCACTGTAGGCTGAAGAAAGAACATAATGTAATTCACAATACAATGCTTCAGTTAAGGCTATAACGGATATTTGGTCCAAGTTACCTTTGCGTATGAAGGTAATGAGCTCCTAAAAAAAATCTGAAAGCCAGGGGTTGGTGGTGTTGCTTTACAAGGTAGTATTCTCATCTAAAAACACGGTCTTACTTATTATGCTTAAGCTGGAAAAAGAAAAAAAGTGTGGATCTTTGTTGACATCTTGAAACCGAAACCTTGTGGTTGCACAGTAGAATCTGGCTGTTACCTTAACCAGTTCCTTCTGAGGCCAGATCTGGATGGGTTCAACCTGCTGAGGTGTCTGCGTCTGAATTCCATAGGTGTTCAAAAATACTTGAAGTCTGTCAAGACACAAAAAGACAAGCAACATAGAACATTAATGAGATTACAAGCTTTTCAAACATCTAATTGACATTTAATTAAACTTGTGGTAATATATGCAACATAATAGATAGTACAATTTTTTTTATTTATTTATGCTGACACATTCAATGGCATAATACCTTTGCCCTGTCAGAAGTTTAAATGTTGTGGACTAATGCCTAATTATTTAGTTTTCTATGCTAATGCAACGCAAGTGATCTCTGATAATTGGTCGCAGATCCTGTGATTATGTTTTTTTGTTTTTCATCTTAGCTAAAATCAGCTTATCTAACGAATGACCAAATTTGCTGAAATTGACAGATATAGACCATTTGCCAAGTTGAATTCTGTCCTATGTGTAGCTTTTCCTGAAGTAGAATGATTTCTTCCAATCACAGCCTTTTTTAGACCTTTTACCAATTGAAAGTTCTTTCCAGAGCTCGTTTCCAAATAAGTTCCTCTGCAGTTCTTCTTTTCCGGAAGAAGTCCTTTTAGACTTTGGCCAAAAGATACCATATATCTAAAAATAAAAAATATCTGACCTAAAATTAAATAAGGGCGTTTTCATTGCCTTTATCTAATTTTACAAGTACTTCTGCACATAACCTTTTCTTAACATGCACTATTTGAATATGAATCTAATATCGATGTTTCAATCATGTTAGAAAAGTCAAAACGTTTCTACACGGCCATCATTCAAATCCAGTGTTGGTTTGAGAGGAGCCCGCTGATGAGTGATGATCCCGAATCCTAATAGAGACCACATCAGCGGCATGAATTGTCGCAAGAAGTTGACAAGCTTCACACAGTCCTGTAACTTAGACTTAGACAGTAGACTTAGACAGTACTTTATTGACGTTTAAGACAAATTATCACGCGTCAAAGTGCGACGCATATAGACGTACACAAGCTCACACTGTATAGAGCGACAGGTGGTGGCAAAGTTCAGGCCGGACTCGCCACCGTTACCGAGCTGAGTAAGACAGACGAGCAGAAAATAACCTCGTTTTATGACGCGCAACACACAAAGACACAAACAAATGCGTGTGAGTGTGTGTGTGTGTATGGATGTAAACATTACCTCTGACTCTCAGCTATCAGGGACACGTGAATAACAACATCATTCTCTATTGGGCCCTGTGGAAGAGACAGAAAACAACAGCATTAGTGATTTTCCTACAAACCCGTTGGAGCAGCTGTGGTCTAACGTACACAGGGAGTGTGTGTTTAATCAAAACATGTGAATTATGCTCGTGTAGAGTTGCGTTTTCACTTCTGCATTTCTATAAGTGTCATACTTGGTTTTTAACATCTTTCCACACAACCCAGATAACCAACATGTTGCACAGAAAGTGACCAAAAACGGCGCTTATGATTTGTAAATATCATAAATTGCAATCATTTACTCGCAATGGAATGAAAAAAACAAATCAGTGAAATACAGAATCTTGAATTTGATTGCGGCCAAAAAAAACAGGTCTGGAAGTGTGGTATGTGACACCCCAGGTGGTCCCTTGCATCCTCGGAGCAGGAAGATGCTGCAATCTTTATTTTCAGAAAGATTTTTACACTCCTGTTTCCCCAACGCTGTTATGTTTTCGGAGCTGAAGCCCATTTTCCCCGACTTTCCCCTCAAGTGGCAGAAAACCGAACAAGAACTGAACGCGTTCAGCATTAAATCAAATAAACCGAATTGAGTGTGTTCGTAATTCAGAATGAGAAAGAGCGAGAGAGAGAGATAAAGAATGAACCCCGAGCACACTTTAAAATTCAGCTCAATCCCTTAAATAACAATGGGCTGTGTTATTGCTCCCTCTCCCCACATCACAGTCTCACTAACAACGTTTGAAATGAAAATAAACCCCAAATTACCTATGAAGGTTAAGGAGAGATGTGGAAGTGCTTGGCAGCAGGAAGGGAGAAGTGAATTAGCAAGGACGACGGAGATGTAAAGTGAAGGTGGGAGCAACGATTGGAGAGACAACAAAAGAAATCCTCCAGCCACTAAATATGTGAGATGGAATCACAATAAAAAGGAAGACACTATAGATCACTCAGGACAAACACCACCCGTCTAAGTAATAGTTTCTACTCACGAGCAGCAATAGACTCTGGCCCATTTAAGTTTGGCACATTATAATGTGCACAGACTGCACTTTAGTGTGATTTCAATGTTGATTCCTAACTCTACCTCGCAGTGTGCACCGTGAACCTAAATATATAGTGTATACATAGGATCTAAGTTCCAATTAGAACAAGTGGAAACAATATATAATATATAACATAGATTTTATAAACAAGATAAAGTATTACAATGTTCTCTCAACAGTAAATTTAACATTATATGCTATACTACATGGCCATCTAGGATTTTTCCAGCATTGTTTATCTATCTAAACCAGGTGATATTTTGTGTGTGTGTGTATTAATTAAAATTAGGGACAGAGCTTACAGTAACTGATGGTTAAATAACATAATAGGTAAAGCAAAAGTAAAGTGACTTCTAACTTTGTGTGATCGCACCACATTTAGGGCTTTTTGATTCAAAAGATGCTATTCTGCCTGGCCTCAGTGAATGGATGGATGGACGGACGGATGGATGGACGGTGGGGATCAAACAACACAAAACTGCCTATCCTTGAACTGAAAAACCTTGTAAAAACCTTGTTTCCCTCTGATAATGAAATTTTCATTTCTGAGTTTAATGAGTTTTTCCACAAAGATTTTCATTTGATAGTAATGGAGTCTGCAGCACATTTATAGCTACAAGGTCTCTCTGATTACAAACAATCTTCATGTATATCATAAACGGCTTCGACTACTCCTTGACTTTTGTCAAATCCGTGTATTAGTTGTTAACTAGCCATATGACAACATGGCTTTACAAGAAGTACACAAAAAAGCAATAAAAGAGAAATGGGACTAAAAGATACTTATATACACAAATCCAAACACAAAAGACCAAAGCAAGAAAAATGCATAATTGATCTTATCTGGTGAGTGAATGAAGAGAAAGTGAAGTAAAAAAAAAAGAAAAAAAAAAGAAAAGGCATTATTTTAAAAGATTTCCCTGCAGTTTTCAGAGGACGTTTTTGAAAGCACAGACGAGGGAAATAACTTTGTCTTCCAGAGAAGACCTTTTAAACAGACAAAGAACACTGTAAAGATGGAGTGATTGCTGACAGACGCAGCTTGAACATCTGACATTTTCCCTTTAAGAAATACCGGAAGGCAATTATGTCCTGTCTTTTTGTCAAATGAAAGGTGCGATTCCAAAAGCTTCTGGAAATTGATCACGTGCCTCCACATGAGTGTGAGAGTATTTCTTACAGAATGTTTTCCTCATTACTTTTATCCATCACACACTGATGTTTCTGAATTCATTGCTTCCTGGCATGTTGTTAAATTTTCATATGTGTCCTCCTGTGTCCCTCAGAGCCTTTCATCTTTTTGTTGTTTGTGCATGTGTGTGGGTGTGTAGAAATGAAATGTAAGCATAGCTAATAATCATTGCATAGACTATTCAGGAGCATTTAGGGGATATGTAGGAGCTGGTGACTCACAGGAGATGCAGCCTTTAATCTTCTCATTGTGAAGATGGACACCCACGCAAACACACACAATACACCAATACAAACATGCATACATATAGAACATGGCAACGAAAACACTCATGCTGGGAAGCACATATGCTCAGAATCTGTGGTGGGGCAAAGAACACAGGAGCAACACACACAAGACGTCATACATCATGAGTTTTAGAAAGAAAAAAAAGCTGGGGCGCCATTTTGTTCAGCCGATTGAAGAACCAACAACCTTGTTTTAAACAAGTTCAGCTTCATTTGAGAGAGAGGACAGACAATATAAAGACTAAGTAGAAGGGAAAGTGTTTGGGCAAACTACGTTCCCGATAGAGAGGCATAAAACTCTTATCTGTCCTAGTCTCTGTGAAAACAGAGGTTTTGGTTGAGAAAAAAATAAAGTCTACCACCAAAAAAGAAATGCCACGCTCTAATATGTCTAATATGTTGTAAGATTCATGTCCATCAAGTGTTGCGTTCATTGTTTGTCTTGTGTCGATGGAGGAAAAGTGCGACCCCGATGCAAAACCATGAACATACTTTGACAATCTGATCCTGACCATTCTAGATATTGTCGTCGGAATTGGAATCTGTCAATCGTAATCGGCGGACTGCATTCTTTGGGGGTAATAAAGCTGTAGAACCTGGCCCTGACCAACTGCAGCCACCCCAGATTAGAGCACTGCCCCTACAGTAGGCACTAGGAATGATGGGTAATCACTTCATCTGCCTCTCTGATGCACCAATATCTCTAGAACAATATGGACTCATCAGACTCATCAATCACATGACCTTCTTTAATTGCTACGCTCCAATCTCCATGCTCCCTGGAAAATTGAAGTCTTTTTCTCCAGTTAGCTTCACTGATTAGTGGCTTTCTTATGGCTACACAGCTGCTCAGTCCCAATCCCTTGAGTTTCCTTCCCGTGTGGGAATGCTCTTACTTTAACTATTAAACACAGGACTGAGCTCTGGTTGTTTCTTTTTCCCTTCGGTTTCACCAAACGTCCAATCCTGATCATTCAGGATTTCTTTTCCCCCTGACATTTCTTCCTTGAAAAACAATGGCTCTCCACTTCCCTTTTAATAATGCATCGTACAGTTCCCTAAAGCTGTTCTAGGAATTTCTGCTATCTCCTTTGTTGTGTTCTATGTTTCATGCATGCTAATGAGTAGACTCTTCCTAAACAGAAGTGGTTGTGGGGAAAAAAAAACAAAAAACGTGTATGTGTCTTTCCACATGATTGTTTAAGAGATTAGAAGCTACTTATCGCATCAGTTGGGGTTAAATAACCTGTTTTCATCTGAAAGATAATCCATTCAGTAATTATCCAACAGGAGACTATTTGCTTTATTAAATCCTGGCGACTTTCGTCTTCTGGCCAGAAGGTACATGATGGAAACACAGGGAGGATGCAGTCTGTCT